GGTATTTCCTGTAATAATCTTATTAATAAAAATGTAAAACTTCTACAACCTTTATAACATTCAAAGTAAACTCATCATTTTATAGCATAACAATAGCGGATGAATCCTGATAAACCGATTAATGCTTTCTTTTTCTAATGAATTCAGACAAGGGAGATTAATGAATTACTCCTGGCAAACCCTTTAAAATCAGTTAAAATCAATATATGGTCACGCACAGCACAACAAAGTTAACTAATTTAGTAAAATATAAAAGTATAATTACAATATACATATTTCTGTTATTTATTTGTACCGAAGTAAAGAGAAAGCATTTCTTCAGATTTTAAATTATCATGCTCCGACACCTAAAAAAATCATTATCTTCCTGAAGATAATTGACTTTCTTACTTTGACTAAACATGTCATTATATACAGATGAATAGAGATTGATACAGCATGTTCCAGGATTTCTTATTTATTGCCTAGTAAATACTTTTTCAACATAAACCTACCACTGCAATACTTTGACACTGTCATTACAACCCCTTCACTGACATACTCCGACACTGTAATTACAACCCCTTCACTGACATACACCAACACTGTCATTACCAATCTGTTACTGCCATATACTCCGACACTGTCATTACCAATCTGTCACTGCCATATACTCCGACACTTTAATTACAACCCCTTCACTGACATACACCAACACTGTCATTACCAATATGACACTGTCATTACCAATCCGTCACTCCCATATACTCCGACACTGTAATTAGAACCCCTTCACTGACATACACCAACTCTGTCATTACCAATCCGTCACTGACATTACCACTCTGTCACTGTCATAACCAATCTGTCCCTGACCTTCCCACTCTGTCACTGTCATAACCAATCTGTCACTGTCCTTACCAATCTGTCACTGCCATTACCAATCTGTCCCTGTCATTACCAATCTATCACTGACATTTCCAATCTGTCGCTGTCATTACCAATCCGTCACTGACATTACCAATATGTCACTGACATAACCAATCTGTAACTGACATTACCAATCTTTTACTGTCATTACCAATCTTTTACTGTCATTACCAATTTGTCACTGTCATTACCAACCTGTCACTGACATAACAAATCTGTCACTGACATAACCCATCTGGCACTGACATTACCAATATGTCACTGACATTACAAATATGTCAGTGTCATTACCAATCTTTTACTGTCATTACCAATATGACACTGTCATTACAACCCCTTCACTTACATACACCAACACTGTCATTACCAATTTGTCACTGTCATTACCAGTATGTCACTGTCATTACCAATATGACACTGTCATTACCAATCTGTCACTGTCATTACCAATCTGTCACTGACATTTCCAATCTGTTACTGACATTACCAATCTGTCACTGACATTACCAATCTGTCACTGTCATTACCAATCTGTCGCTGTCATTACCAATCTGTCACTGTCATTACCAATCTGCCATTGTCATTACCAATCTGTCACTGTCATTACCAATCTGTCACTGACATTACCAATCTGCCACTGACATTACCAATCTGTCACTGTCATTACCAATCTGTCACTGACATTACCAATCTGTCACTGACATTACCAATCTGTCACTGACATTACCAACCTTACGCTATTATATGCATACACTTGCATAATGTATTATGCACTATTTTCCCTACTTTTCATAAATATAGTGAGATTCCATCTCCACACAACATATTTTTACAATGCCATGACTCAAATTTCTGTGTACTGAAATAATTATCCCTTGAACACACATAGAAAAGCATGAAATCCTCATTTACATGTAGCACCATTTTGGTCAAGCACAATATATAAGCGATGTCTACATTCCAAAGAATTTCAAACCACAATGCACAGCAACTTCAACACAATGGGTAATCTGTGACAATAAATTCTGGTACAGGTATCTCAATTCTTTGTACCATAATAAAACATGAAGAAAAGATAACAGTGGATGTTTGTGTAGTGTTGAATGTTTAGTGATGAAGTATGATGAAAAACAATGAAGTGTTTTATGAAATTGATTGTAGCATATATATCTGTTAATCCAATGCTGTGCAGTCTAGCATCAGAAATTCACCTTGTATTTCAGAAGAAAACATAGCTCAATATATTACTGTAGAAATATGTCAGTACACTCATTTTTCTGTGCCACAGTACTGACATACATACATTTGCTTTGACAACACACTCATTTTTCAGTGCCTTGACGACACTCTATTTATATTCGCTACCTTGTCAAAACTTTTGATACATATAATATAATGATTTTATAATTAGAGCCTACCATCCATTACAACTTTCCAATTAATGATGTTAAAAACCAGTTTAGTTTTGTTGTGGGTCAGCACTAGAACGAGCACCCCTGACTTTCTCTATGGTACATATCAGGCAATGTCAGTGGCACTAGAACAAGCACCCCTGACTTTCTCTATGGTAATATCAGGCAATGTCAGTGAATGATTATATTACAATTCCCTTCAGATAACAAGTTAACGTCATGAGAGGCACTTACAGTCTTTTTCAAAAAAATCATTGCTATTTATCTTGACATTTCTTCCTGGAATCAATAATTTTCATTGTTAATCCAGGAAATTTTGTTCTGCATACAAAACAGAGTCAAACTGACTACACACAACATGATGTGTAGAACATGCATACTGAACACCAGTTCAAACACGAAAATTCAGATCAAGGGACATAATTAACATTTCCATAGCAGAAGTCATGTTTTGCTATCCATAAACTGTTTTAAGAATATTTTTTAGGAACCTGGGTCTCCTATTAATGGAGGCTCTATCATACAATCAAATAAGATAATTAGGCTTTATTATATTCAACAACAAGGATATCATGAACACACAAGACAACATCATCACAGTAGTTATAACTGCCAAGTCAACATCATCACAGTAGTTATAACTGCCAAGTCAACATCATCACAGTAGTTATAACTGCCAAGTCAACATCATCACAGTAGTTATAACTGCCAAGTCAACATCATCACAGTAGTTATAACTGCCAAGTCAACATCATCACAGTAGTTATAACTGCCAAGTCAACATCATCACAGTAGTTATAACTGCCAAGTCAACATCATCACAGTAGTTATAACTGCCAAGTCAACATCATCACAGTAGTTATAACTGCCAAGTCAACATCATCACAGTAGTTATAACTGCCAAGTCAACATCATCACAGTAGTTATAACTGCCAAGTCAACATCATCACAGTAGTTATAACTGCCAAGTCAACATCATCACAGTAGTTATAACTGCCAAGTCAACATCATCACAGTAGTTATAACTGCCAAGTCAACATCATCACAGTAGTTATAACTGCCAAGTCAACATCATCACAGTAGTTATAACTGCCAAGTCAACATCATCACAGTAGTTATAACTGCCAAGTCAACATCATCACAGTAGTTATAACTGCCAAGTCAACATCATCACAGTAGTTATAACTGACAAGTCAACATCATCACAGTAGTTATAACTGCCAAGACAACATCATCACAGTAGTTATAACTGCCAAGACAACATCATATCAGTACATGTAGTTATAACTGATAAGTCAACATCATCACAATAGTTATAACTGCCAAGACAACATCATCACAGTAGTTATAACTGCCAAGTCAACATCATCACAGTACATGTAGTTATAACTGATAAGTCAACATCATCACAGTAGTTATAACTGCCAAGACAACATCATCACAGTAGTTATAACTGCCAAGTCAACATCATCACATTAGTTATATCTGCCAGGTCAACATCATCACAGTAGTTATAACTGACAAGTCAACATCATCACAGTAGTTATAACTGCCAAGACAACATCATCACAGTAGTTATAACTGCCAAGTCAACATCATCACAGTAGTTATAACTGCCAAGTCAACATCATCACAGTAGTTATAACTGCCAAGTCAACATCATCACAGTAGTTATAACTGCCAAGTCAACATCATCACAGTAGTTATAACTGCCAAGTCAACATCATCACAGTAGTTATAACTGCCAAGTCAACATCATCACAGTAGTTATAACTGCCAAGTCAACATCATCACAGTAGTTATAACTGCCAAGTCAACATCATCACAGTAGTTATAACTGCCAAGTCAACATCATCACAGTAGTTATAACTGCCAAGTCAACATCATCACAGTAGTTATAACTGCCAAGTCAACATCATCACAGTAGTTATAACTGCCAAGTCAACATCATCACAGTAGTTATAACTGCCAAGTCAACATCATCACAGTAGTTATAACTGCCAAGTCAACATCATCACAGTAGTTATAACTGCCAAGTCAACATCATCACAGTAGTTATAACTGCCAAGTCAACATCATCACAGTAGTTATAACTGCCAAGTCAACATCATCACAGTAGTTATAACTGCCAAGTCAACATCATCACAGTAGTTATAACTGCCAAGTCAACATCATCACAGTAGTTATAACTGCCAAGTCAACATCATCACAGTAGTTATAACTGCCAAGTCAACATCATCACAGTAGTTATAACTGCCAAGTCAACATCATCACAGTAGTTATAACTGCCAAGTCAACATCATCACAGTAGTTATAACTGCCAAGTCAACATCATCACAGTAGTTATAACTGCCAAGTCAACATCATCACAGTAGTTATAACTGCCAAGTCAACATCATCACAGTAGTTATAACTGCCAAGTCAACATCATCACAGTAGTTATAACTGCCAAGTCAACATCATCACAGTAGTTATAACTGCCAAGTCAACATCATCACAGTAGTTATAACTGCCAAGTCAACATCATCACAGTAGTTATAACTGCCAAGTCAACATCATCACAGTAGTTATAACTGCCAAGTCAACATCATCACAGTAGTTATAACTGCCAAGTCAACATCATCACAGTAGTTATAACTGCCAAGTCAACATCATCACAGTAGTTATAACTGCCAAGTCAACATCATCACAGTAGTTATAACTGCCAAGTCAACATCATCACAGTAGTTATAACTGCCAAGTCAACATCATCACAGTAGTTATAACTGCCAAGTCAACAGCAAACACGATTTTGAACACATTATCTGGTAAAGCGGTGGTATGAAAGAAAAAGGTGGGATAAAACTATTGATAGATTTGATAAAACACCTCATTCACTAAATAATTATCTACTTTCAATTGAAATTGAGATGCGGCAGAATATGATTCAAGTATTTAGTCAAAGAACAATCAGATCCATGTATAAAATTTGATTATAGAACAATGCTCAGCACGTTTATGTTTAAGCTCATAGATATTTATTCACATATAATTTTTTTTGAAAATTAATAACTAAAAAAAAGAATTGTATAGAATGCGCTATTCTACTGACAATAAAATTTGTGAAGTCAATAAGTTCATCACAGATTTTAAAGCAATCTTAGATGTATTTCACAACATTTTCCTAGAAACTATAACTTTTAATGGTTTTAACACTTTATTAGTTGATACCATGTAAATACATCTACGTACACTAATGTACATAAAACTGTACTGTTTTCAGAATTTCTTAGCCTGGAAATATTTTTTGTATTAATTCACAATTTCTTTTAATATTGTGCTGTTTTATTCAGAATTCGGAATTAGTTTGGTTGACTCGATTCAAGAAATAAGTGAACAGTATTCATTAAAAAAGCCAAAGCATTAAAACACTTGACACATTATTTGATTGTGTCTTTGCATTATTCATGATTTGGTGACCAAATCTATACATGGAAAAACATGTTCAGATTATCCTGCAGAAAATGAAATTTTCAACATGTACAGATGTAATGCTTACTAAAGATGCTAGTTTTATTTTGGCCAGAATGATCAGCATTTTATACAATAAATTGTAATTGATATTATTGCAATAAAAACATGACCAATGAAATGATTAACACTGGGAATAACGTTTCTTGCAATAAAACACGATTCTCAATGCAGACATAATGTTCAAGGCACCTGGTAAACAATTGGGGAAACAAAAACAGCTTTAAAACAATAACACTTAGCTGTTCTGCTTCGCTCACCAATTTTGTATTAGTTGTAAGAATTTTTGTAACTCTCGCATCATAGTTGTAAGTCTCTATCACAGAAATGCTTTAACGCGTCGCTCACAAATCTTCAAAGAACTGCACTCGGGCCTGCGTTGTTGCGGCTTTAGCCTAAAACAAAACGAACATGGAAGAAGTATTGGATATTTAAAATCAGGGAAAGTTCATCTTCACATGGACACAACTTTAAAATCTACAAATCACATTCATTTCCGTCTAATGATGTGAATTCAAGCACAGTTTAACAATTTGAGTATAAATAAGATGAACAATGGCTAAACCAAGCACAGAAATACAGTTTTAAAGAAAACATTGAAATCTAAACATCTCAACTTAAAATTATTATTTTTTATTATAGAGCTGACTGTCAAAGGATCGTAAAGTCCTAATTTCGTCAGAATAAAATCTATGTATCTATGTATTACATTAGTACATATCATATTAGACATAAAAACAGTCCAATCATTTATAAGTTCCCACTAGCTTTTTTTTTACATCAGAGCATCCATCTTTTCAGTGCATTTCACTGACTTACTTAAATAAAATGTCTATAACTGCTACTTTTTCACAATTTTATGTTTTCTGCAATTTTTTCAATTTTCTCAAATCCTTATTAAAACGACCAAGGATTATTAGATCAAAATTGTATGATTCATTTTTTTGTGCATGTGGATAATAAATATAAAAATCCAATCAATTTCTGAATCCTTATCAGTGTCAACTCTGATGCGATTCTAAAAAATAATATTCTTACATGGTAACAAATTCGAGTCAAGAGATGTACACACAGCATTTATTAATTGACATAATTACTATAAATAAATGATTGAAATAAAATCAGTGTTATGTTATCACAATATTGTAGTACATTTGACAGAAATCTCACTTTTAAACATCATGTCTAAGGAATCATCAATGATTTGAAAAAAAGGAATTTTTATCAGCCAACTGAACCTATCCTTTTTAAATGTATTTTTTTATGAGAAATCTGTGGCTCTAGTATTTGGAAAGCAACAATTCCATTGGCTAATGTAAAGATCACCCGCACATGACATTTTTACGGGACCCTTTGCGATCTGTATTTATGTGATATAACCTAGCTGACATGATATATAAATGAAGCCTATTACAGCTTAGCCTTACCATTCTCAGGGTGGAGTACTTTGTGTCCCCACGACGTATCTTCTCGTCATGCTGTCTGTCAAGTTCTGTCTCATTCTCTTCCACCTTCAATACCTCTATCTCTGTCTTGAGCTCCTTCAGCTGTTCTTGTAGGTGTTTGGACTTCTCCATGTATTCCTCTCTGTAGGACAAACATGCAGAAGATTTAGAGCAATGTCATTCAATATTTTGAAGACTAAATTATCATTCAATGAACAAACAGAAGATATCTAGACCATTCGGTCATTCAATTTTACTGAAGACAGCAGGAAAATCTACTAAGATACGCAAGACGTGTAAAGATGTACAACCAATATGATATCAATATGTCGGATTCACACCTATGAAATCTCCTTTTCTAATGCAAATTCTGACCTTTCCTTCTCTATCTCTATAGATAACTGGTCCATGTCGCCTGCCCCTAAGAGGTCACAGCTGGCCTCGCTGGCCTCCCCCATCTCCTGCAAATCATCCATGGGTGGCTCATCCAGTTGCAGTTCTGCAAAATCTGACGGTAGACTGTGCAGACCATACATAGCCTGTTGCTGGAAAAATAACGACTCACATAACCAAGGGTTCAGATCATTGTTGTAGCTCCCAATGACTGGGTCCTGTTTACTAAAGCTTGGTTTTATTACAGTTTTTTCTCCAATAATATAACCTGGCCATTTTAAGTGGGAACAGAAGTGAATAGATTAATAAAGTTTGATAATAATTATATATTTTTGCCTTGTCCAGTGTATAATATTCTGGCAACAGCTAAGGTATTACAAGGCCAGGTACCTAGATTAGCATGTCCAAAAACACAGAGTAAGCGAGAGAAAGAAAAGATAGAGGTCTCAAGTGTTACAGAGGGGTCAGTAGATCTACTCCGGTTTCTTCAATGCCTCCTAAGCACAATACACATAAGAGATCACCTCTGATTCTGCAGTCGGCCCTAGCTAAATTAGTCCCCTATTATGACAACATGCAGTGGACCACAGCAGGACTATTCTTTCCCTTAAGATGCAGAGGTTTTGCAATTATAAGTTAATTTACCCCTGAAAACTTATAATGAACTATTCTAACCTTTCATTTGGAAGAGTTCAAATGTTTCTTCAGAGGTAAATGAGTTAATAACTCAATTTTTTAATTTTCATTTATAATTTTTTATTTTTTTTATAATTCTTTGTTGTTTTTTGGGGCAATTATTTATCCTACTTACACATTAACAGTCTAGATTTAATAGCATTTTCATGTGTACAATTTTTTATGATTTTTAACATATAAAAAAGACAACCTTATAAATTAAACTGTCTTTTTTCAAAAGCTTAATTTCAGTTTCAAACTGATATCAAAGAGGAAATCTTCATTTAATAAATCTAGAAAAATTATCCTAAATTCTGATTTTGGGAGAGGAGGAATCTTTCCTCAATAACAAGGATAGGTTTACATACTGTGTACGGAGACACTCTTGCTACTTCCATCAGTTTCTCCTTGGCTGATTGTTCGTTCAATTTAGCCTGAACCAGGTCAATTTTCAACTGTTCAGCTTCCAAAGCTCTGAAACAAAATAAAAGTAATATAGAAGTTGTCAGCACAGGAGTTAAATAAAGTGTCATGACGTTCATGGACTTCTGACAAAACCTCAGGTAGCTATGGTTGTTTTTTCCCCATATTGTAACTAATATGAACAATTAACAAATGTGCTTTAAGTAATTCTTCAGCCTATAATTCCACAAACACAAGCCATGAACATTTTGCAAACATTTGCCTTTTTATTATTTTATGGATTTCATTGGGAGAAATGTTCACAATTTCACAGGGAGACACAAGCACCATTTTTACAGGGAGACACAGGCACAATTTCATAGGGAGATAATTATGTTCACTATTTCACAGGAAGATTTGTTCACTATTTCACAGGAAGAGACCAGCACAATTTCATGGGGAGAGATGATCACCATTTAACAGGGAGTTATGTTCACAATTCCATGGGGAGAAATGATCACAATTTCACTAAGAGATATGTTCACCATTTTATACAGGGAGATACATGTTTGATCACGATGTCATGGGGAGAGATGATCACCATTTCACAGGGAGATATGTTCACAATTCCATGGGGAGAAATTATCACAATTTCACGGGGAGGTATGTTCACCATTTTATACAGGGAGATACATGTTTGATCACGATGTCACGGGGAGAGACAATCACAATTTCACGGGGAGAGATAATCAAATTTTACATGGTGATATGATCACAATTTTTACGGGAATACACATTGTGATGTAAATTTCACGGAGAGATAGGATGATAATTTCACTTCAAGGGGAGACAGTTACAATTTCAAATTTCACACAGGGAGACAAAACCATTATGTCTCTCTTTTAAAAGGAGGGAGGAGGGGGGGGCATAATTTAGTGAAAACAAATACTACACTGGTATTATGTACTGGTTTGCTTCATTAGTGACAAAGTTCTAGACGATTTAAAGTGTATAATTTTAGCCATGTTCTTTGTTCATATCTCTGTGTTATACGACTGTTGCAAACACATACTCCTGTTTAATAATATGCTACATTGACAATGAGATAGTATGACTGTTTACTAAGAGGTTTCAGCTTTTTGCATTAGCATTGACTTATTGATATTTATGGTACAAAACTGCCCGTTATGTTTTATAGTTTGTGGTCTCACCTCCTCTCAGAGTCCTCTAGGATCTTAGTTGCAATCATCTCCGCCTCACGAGCACGGTACTCCATTATCATACGTTCCTCTTCATTCTGATATTCAACAAGGCAAGTGATACAAATCCCCTCATATTCACACGTTGAGGAATGAAGTTGCTAGAGCGATGACAAACGTTTTGATAAAAATAGTAACAGTGACCTTGACCTTCAATGTAGAAACCCAAAACAAAAACTTGTTCAAGGTATTGTCATAACAAATAAAGTCACTAGAGCGATGATGAAGAGTGTAACATACGTACATATTGGCTGAATCCTTTATCCGCTCGAACTTTCGTTGCGAGGGGATAATAAGCAATGTACATGTATATTAAAAACATATTTGCGCACTATTGTTCTTGAAACAGTTTAACATTAATTTACCTACACCGGTACCTGGGGAGCTGTATCATTTTGATGTTTATGACAGTGTGTCTATACATCCATAATTCATTCAACACCAAAGTATCTTGCCTTTTTTGACCCGAAATTGAAATTATGTTGCATAATGCAGTATGTCCTTAAAGTCAGGTGTCACTAAAGTCTGGTAGTCACTAAAGTCTGGTGTCACTAAAGTCTGGTAACAGTAAAGTAACTAGAAACCAGTCAACATAGCCTAATCATACCTTCATCTCCTTCAGTTTCATCCTGTGAATCTCCCCTTCTGTTTCCGAGGCTTTTTGGGCCAGCAGAATTGCCTCCTCCTCCGCTATCTGAGCCTTCTCCGCCAACAACTCGGTTGTCTCTTCCGACCGCCGCTACAAAGGGACTTAATCATGTCAATATAGATAACAGGAACTATATAATGTGCTGTTTCCTATTCACTCAAAACAGGTTTCATTTATGCCACCCTGGTAAAATACTAGCCGCTTCCTACTATCTTGGCTAGGGAAGACTAGTATATAATCAGCCATTCACATGATGTGAGTGACTCATGGTATATTATCTGCCAATAGGAACATATGTGCCAGTGACATCAGTCAATCAGATGATATCAGTGACTCATGACTATTAATCAGCCAATAGAAAAACATGTACCAGGGATTTTGTTTTATGAGTCAATCAGATGATATCAGTAACTCATGACTATTAATCAGCAAATAGGAAAACATGTACCAGGGATTTTGTTTTATCAGTCAATCAGATGATATCAGTGACTCATGACTATTAATCAGCCAATAGGAAACATGTACCAGGGATTTTGTTTTATCAGACAATCAGATGAAACATACCAGTAACTCCTGTGCAGCTCTGACCTCCTCTTGCAACATATGAAGTCGTTTCTCCAGCTCTTCCTTCTCTTTCAGGGCCTCTTCCTTCAATTGTTTCTCTTTTGCTAGTCTCGCCCTGTCCATCTATAAATCAGCAATAAATTATCTTATTTCACGTTTTATACTGTATGTTATATTCCAACTATATTTTTATACCGTTTTTACAATAGTTTTGTATTTTACCAATGATAACCCCCAATCATATATATTTAGTAAAAATGTTGTCTAAATAAAACTTGCAACTACCTGGTAAACTGTACTTGTTTATTATTTAAAAACTCTGTTTTATATAATGAGACAGGAGTCTAGGGCCGTTTTCGTTTAAACCATTTAACGGATCAGACCACAGTTGTTCGTTTATTAAACTAGATGTAACTCGAAGGGGAGCCTTCGTGAATACCCCGCTTTGGTCGATCAGGAATAAGTGGGAGTGATGGGCATGTGGATTGGAAGAATCAAGTGAAGAGTTTATATGCTGGAAGTCTCACATTACTTAGGACAGATGTCATGGTAGAGGTTGCAGTGACCTACATATGGTACACGACACACCGCCTTCCATGCATGTACCCACAAACCAAGATCCATAACCGTAGGTGAAATAGTACGGGAGATATGCTGCAGAAACCTTTTTGACGACATTATGTACGTCAGAGGTCACGGTAGAGGTTACAGTGACCTACATATGGTACACGACACACCGTCTTCCATGCATGTACCCACAAACCAAGATCCATAACCGTAGGTGAAATAGTACGGGAGATGTGCTCCGAACCTTTCGGACGGACGGACGAAGCAAACAGTACTTTATACCCCTGACTTCGTCGAAGCGGGGTATAATAAGGTTGGACCTAGTAATCTGATGCTGCTTTCAGGCAAGCCTTGACAAAGCCTTGCAAGGCCTGCATAAACATGTGCAGGTCCACGAGGATTTATACCCGAAATTGTTACATTTATAAACGGACTAACCGATTGTTAGGCATTAAAGAACAGGTCCTAGATTTCAGTTTTCAAACTCAAATATTGCAGTAGGTACTCTCATACAAAGTTTGACAGTCCTAGGTGAAACAGTATGCCTGATATTTCCCTGGCAAAGTATCTTATGATAAACAAAGGTAAACTCTGTATACAGCAGGACAAGAAACCTGTCTTCAACACATAACATTCCACCATTCTTAGAGGTTCTCTCATACAAAATAGTATACTATGGATGAGGTGACACACTAACTGACAGACTGGTGGACTGTCTGACAGCCAGAGTGAACGTACATCTACATTTCCCCTCTTATACTCGGGTAGTAAAAGGAAGAAGTAAATTTCTGCAAAAGTGTTCATTGTTTACCTGCTTGCGTATCTTTTCCTCTCTAGCATTAGTTTTCATTTGTTGAATTTCCATGGAATCAGGTTTTCTTCGTCTTGTAAATAATTCATGGTTTCCTATACATAGCTCTAATATCTGTAATGGAAACAAATATTTCAGTAAGCTTTCATATTGTTCTAATAAAACAGACCCACTAAAGCATGTAATAGTAAAAATTGCTGTTAATGTGTAGGCAAAATGACCTAAATCTGGAATGTTGGTATAGCATTGAGGATAAGATAAGCCCAGACTGATCAGTCATCTGACAACAAGGACGGATCGGGCAGCACCATACATGTATCACAGGACAAACCGAGTTCAACATTTCTCGGCTGTGTTAACAAATTTCACCTTTAACAAATTGAACAATTGCAAGCTTGTACTGTAACACTTCTTTAAGAGAACCAATGAAATCTAAAAAAAAAAAAAATTGCTGAAAGCATTTATCCACTTTTTTTTCTTTTGTGAAGACAATGAAAATCAAAAGCTTTTTATGTTACTTCACCTAGGACAACCGTGAGATAAATAATTATATCTATTACTAGGTAATTACCTTCGTTTTAACCTTTTCACCACTATAGACCATAATAGATTTATCCATATCAATGCATGGTAGAGTTTATTTAAGTTACATAGGGGTGAAAGGTCCGACGCAGAGGGAGTTACAAATGCTTTCCCACACCACGATTAAAATGCTGACAGCTCTGGTCGAAAATAAGACACATAATTCATAGCATACTGTATATTGTTTAGATGAATACAAAATTTGTTTGGATCACAAAAATTTAATTCTTCACTTGGAAATTTGTAAGCTGAATATTGTAACTTTCCTTTTAAAACAAGCACAACATTCTTACCAACTTGTTAATGCGTAATTTTGGTGGTTTGAATACAAAATCTGGGGATTTCTTCTCTACAGGTTTTATCACAAACTGCAACAGATGAAGAAAATGGACAAGAATTAGTAATAACTTTTTTTTATTACAAGATCAAAGTATGAAATACAGCTTTACATAACTTTGTTTTAAGGAACTCAAGTTTACAGATGTTTTAATGTTATTTCAGATTGTCCTCTTAACATTTCATTTTTCTGTACATACCATAAAAACTTGCATAAACTGTTACTATCTCACAATTAAGATTTTTTATAAATCAATGAATTATAGTCCTAACTAATGAGATTCTATACTCATTGGCCTATATACTTGTTGGCCTAGTAAAAGAAGGGAATAAGTTTACAAAAGTTTTAAACAATACCGGTCTCTCTTCCAAATACAATGTCATGTAGAATAATATATAGCAAGGTGCATTAATGAGATTCAGAAACGAAACAGATTTTTTTTACCAAATTGTCTCCTGAATTTTTTAATGACACATTGTCTTTATGTCAAAAAATAAATAAAACATGTAGTCCCATACATATCGAATTCATTCGTTTGGCTTGATGACGTCAAAAAAAACAGTGCATATATTCATAGCATATTTATATATATTCTTACTCTTTTGTCCTTAAAGGAAATATTCTTAATCTCATTCCAGGGAAACATGATCTTAGGACACAGTTTATTATTGGACTCGTACACATTCAGGCCAAGAGCATCTACCCCCAACCACAGGTCTGTATTCTTTTTGTTCTGAAATTGAAACAAAATGTTGAATAAGTAACTCTATAGAACTTCACACAGTTTTCAAATCTTGCTGTTTGAGTTTACAAAATGAACATTTTAATTTCCATCACAAATCTATCATATTTTTTTTTGAAAAAGCTAAACTATGACCACTACAGTAAGGTATCAGTTCAATATATTTTTCTTCATATTTCCATTAAAAAGATACTTATAATTAGTACTAGAAATATCTTCTTTTTTTTTTGCATACAATTTTTATTGGTTCATTGGTTTGTAGCAGAATGAAAATACTACATTATTCTAATAAAGTCTTATTTTATTCTTTGATTCTTACCTCAATTTGAAAATAATTCACACCATACATTTCAAGATCTTGAGCAATTTTCAGATATTCCATTTCAGCTTCATCTCTGTAAAATAAAATTATTACTTTTAAAAAAAAACATTTCATCAGCTTTTGATATTGCAATTTCTAACAATGTTAGTTACTCAGAAATCAGGAAACAAACACATTTCAATTGAAATAAAAACCATACTGACTCTTCATCTGCATCATTTTTTTTTTAATTCAATAACAAACTAGATTTGTCCGCAGTGTTTAAATAGTTCCAAGGTATAGCCTCATCTGTCAAATTCAAATTGCAGACATCTAATCACTGTTTGTCCTTGTAAACTTTAAGTTTGAAAGCATGTTACAAATGCTACCTAAAAGAACAACTCCTACAGTTGAAATTTTGGAAGTAAATATTTATTATTATTCGTGTTAACATTGTTTCGTTGGTAATGGCAGAATTTAGTGATAGAAATTTGTGTTCGGTGCACTGGAAATTAAATGACACATAAGTTACGCCACTATGGAGATGTCAATTTCTCCGTTAGTATAGCAGAATTCGGAGCCAGATCTTCATTCATGAAGTCTGCCCATTTCTCACCTAGACATTCCTCTGTGGTCAGCGTACCATTCTTTGATTCTTTCTTCCCACATCTGAGGGGTCATCTGATACTGGTCAATCACACGCTGGGGCAGTAAGTCCTCACTGGCCAGTGTCCCAATTTTATAAGTGGATGTGTCATAATCCCCATACTGTATTTATAAAAAAATCTGTAGCAACATTCTAGTAACTCAAGAATGCATCCCACAAACAGTCTATACAAGAAACGTTTGATTTATTTGGTTTATAAAATATATATCACAGAACTAGTTTTTCAAGTCAATCTCCTTTGAAATAACATTTCAACTTAATAATTGGATGACCATACTATTGAACAGTTTGTTTATAAAATCAGAATACAATTAATGGACTTTCCATTTCCTTAACCAATAGTTATTATCTCCCCTGCACTAACCTAGCCTGTGCTGCATAAGATACACTTATATACCATTGAGGGCTATATTCCGTTCAAATATATTATAAGCTCCAACCCTGGACACGATGTTTTAAAAAGGCCATAATTAATTTTTCGTCAATATATGATCTTGACATAGGTGATTTCTTTATTTTGACATCCATGGGTGGGACGTCGACTATCACTCATAGCTAATATACAGATTATAGTTATCTCCCCTGCACTTACCTTTGCCTGTACTGCATAGGAGGCCAGCAGGACAGATGCCTCTGGTGGGCAATATATATCCATGTTGATGATAGATTGTTTCACTTGAAGGAAAAACAGATGCTGTGTTATTTCTTGGATCAACTCCTCCGACACATCCTCAGGGAAAAATTTGGCCAAGAACAAGAATGGCACTGGTGTCTCTTTTGGAACATCTTGATCTAAAACCTTCAATAAAGGAAATAAATAATAAACATAATCAACTGTTCATGAGGTAAAACTCCAGTTGCAAAGATTTTCGATTGAAGATTTCATTTTTTGTGGGTGTGTGCTTTAAATTTTAGTACACTTGATTTTTCATTATAATTTTTCTAGCAAAAGAAACAATTATTTATATCACAAAAAAGTGTACTCCGAATGGACATATTTAGTAAAAATTCTGTTCAAGGAACAATAAAAGGTATATAACATTCATGTTTTGATGAAATTTGTCTGTTTTCCACAAGATTTCTAAATTCATGATCTAAGGTAGTCTCTTAGTGAATAAATTGAGCGTTGAAATGGCAGCACCAGCTGTATGCTCCCCAGGGAGTTGAGAAAGATGTTGGCTGGTTGTAAAGGCCCTATAACCATGGATAATAATTTGTGAACCGCTTTGAGACGACCTACGAACTAGGTTGTGATAAAGCGGTATATAAGAACCTCAAATTATTATTATTATAATAAATTATGTTCAAATACCTAAGGAAGTACAAAATTATCATGCACAAGTAATTTGTACCATGTGTGATATTACTGTGAATAGAGTCATTGCCACTAGCTTGTGACTTCATGTATTTTACTAACCTTTTTATCAAACTTCAGCCAGGAAATATATCCCTTAGAATCAATAAACTGTAGTCCAAAATACCAGGTCTCTCTTAGTCCTATTGTACGACACACCAGCTCAAACAAATCCTTCCCTGTTGCTTTGTGCTAAGGAAACAAAAAAAAGATTTATAGAGACACCATGTTTTATTAATATCATTCTTATTTAACATAGAATAACTTAAGTAAATAGGTAGTATTCAGATAATAATTATACATTATACAAATAGTGAATTTCCTTTTTGTCAAAAACAAAAACAAAATTGTTTTCACTATATTTTTCTTTTCTAATCAGACTTTTATTTCCTCACATAATAATATCTAAAAAATGTCCAAAACATATTAAACTATTCATAGCTTAGCTGTTTATCTTCCTCACCCTTCCTCTTTCATAAATTTGTTATATCATTTTTTCAATGTATGTTAACACATTTTCATGACAGAAACATACAACTTTCGTTGTGATATGTTGATTATGTTGTCAGTAAGCAAAAGTGGCAGATTTTGATTGTAAATAGGATTACATGTATGATGGTCATAACTTCTATCTAGAGAGAATTTCCCTTTGGTCAAATGGCAGACTAGGAGGCTGGGAGTCTCTGGTTGATCCCTGGTGGAAGCACACTACATATACCCTCTTTCCAGCTAGAAATGATGTCTGTTGTCTTCCTTGTGTTGACAGGTAGTTATTGCCAGCAGGATTGTAGTGGAGTTCAAAGGAGAAAACCTTTAAAAATGGGGGAATAGTATGGCAGATTTTTATTGTACATTGTGTACATGAACTGTATCATCTGGGAGTCGTGAGTTTGGAGGGTCCCGGATTGGAACTCCAGTCTTGCCGTGCAATTTTCCTACTATATTTGGTGCCCGAGACCAAACCTTGTTCAAAGTATTGGGTGTACACTTGGCAAGGTGATACAGGAATCTGGGTTGTACATGGTGATGTCTTTAGGGCAAAGACTTAAATAAAGGAGGGAGAAATATTAATGTAGCTGGACTGGGTCGGGTTGCCAGCAACCAGGTAGCTGATCACTTGGCGAGATTTGCATTTGTCTTCTTGCTTCATGCTAGAGGGAATGTTCAATTGGTCCAGGGTTGACTGGGAAGCCGAGGATTGCTGGTTAGATCCATGTTTTAGGACACTATATATGTATGTAGTACAGTGTATGTACGTGTACATGTATGCTTTCCTGTTACACAAGTAATGAAGCCTTATTTAGTGAACTGTACCATAAGTCGTCTCACTTCGAAAACGTTATTTAACATATAAACTATATTTAGTAAATATTTGACAGGGAATCACACAAACGCCAGATGATCAAATTAACTTTTGACTATTTTTTAAACCTAAGGATGATTTTGGGACACTCTCAATTATTTACCAATCTAAATTCTAGAATACTAAAATTACAACAATAAATATACGCAATCACTTTATATTGTTTTCTGTGGAGTTGTTTTGACAATCATGAACAGGCACCATGTCCACACGACACACAATTTGTATCAGTAAACTGAAGCGATGTACTGCTTTAATTTTAATTAGATTGAATCATTAGAGTGAAACCATTGACTATACAAACCCAATGTAATTAAAGGTTGTGAATCATGGCTAGCAACAGACCACAAAAATACTGAAATCTTTCCAGAAGGTTGCCAATCAAACGTCTATCGTAAGGACCGTAACAAGAACGAAGGAGGGGTCTTTATATCGATTCACGATAGTCTGGCTTCTAGTGAAGTGGATGACAGTCATTCAGAGTGTGAAGCAGTATGGGCTGAAGTGCACACCAAAGATAAATCTGTACTTATCGGCTCTTATTACCGCCCACCTAGTTCTGCTGTGGAAAGTCTAGAACAGTTGTCTGCAGCCGTGCAAAAGATCACACACAAAAAGAACAAACACTTAATCATAGCAGGGGACTTCAACCTACCCCACATAAACTGGAAACATTGTGCAGTGACACCAGGTGCACCACAGTTAAACCAACACCAAGAGTTATTGAATATAATGAGCGAACATGGTCTTGACCAAATGCAAACAAAACCATCCAGATTAACCAACGTCTGAGACTTGTACCTCACTAACCACTAACAATCATGTGCCAATACCCCCGGGATATCGGATCATCATATGGTGATAGTGGACACAGATCTTAAAACAAAATACAACAAACCGAAACGTAGGAAAGTATACAAGTATAAAAAGGCTGACTGGGAGAGCATAAAAACATCAGTTAAGACCTTAGGAGATGACATCATAAGTCATTCTGACCACAGCATACATGTAGAGTCAAAGTGGACCGACTTGAAGGAAGGACTCAAATCAGTTATGAATGAGAGCATTCCATCGAAACTAACATCGAAAACGGCACAACCTACCATGGATGAACGATCATCTCTGTAAGGAAGTGAAGAAGAAACATAAACTTATGCAAACGGCGACGGTGCTGAACACAACCGAAGCATGGGACATCTACAACGAACAAAAACGAATAGTGCAGGAGAACATCAGACGAGCACATTGGAAATATGCAAATGAAACAATGGAGAAATCACTAGAGGAAGGAAACAACAAGACATTTTGGAAGTATATTTAATCAAAAAGGCATGATAACATCGGAGTTGCAGGTATCAAGAGTGAAGAAGTTTTACACCAGGACAGTAAGACAAAAGCAGAGCTATTAAACAGACAGTTTAAATCAGTATTTATTAAAGAAAACATGGAGGACCCTCTACTACCTCTCAGTGAGACACAGTATCCAACAATGCCAGACACTAAGGTTCATGTAGACGGAGTAACTAGAGAAGCCACTCGAGAAAATAAGCACACATAAGGCTAGTGGACCAGATAATATTCCGAATATGATGCTGAAAAACTGTGCTGCAGAACTGGCCCAAGTAATTGCCAATATTTTCCAACAGAGTCTAAATACAGGCACCCTAGCTGTAACCTATGGACTGGAAAAACGCCAATATTAGCCCGGAATTTAAGAAAGGGAACCAACACATCTCCAGCAATTATCGCCCGATCTCGTTAACAAGTGTCTGTTGTAAAACACTAGAGCACATCATATGTAGCAATATTTTAAAACATCTAAAACAACACAGCATACTCACGTCATAACAACATGGATTTAGGAGTGGTCACTCGTACGTGAGCCAGCTCATTATCACCATGCACGACATTATGCAAACCTACGACCAACAAATTCAGACGGATATGGTTATACTAGATTTCAGCAAGGCATTCGACACTGTGCTACAAAGAAGATTACTATACAAGCTTCAAAATTATGGAATCTCTGGAACCACTCATGCCTGGATTAAAACATTCTTAACACAGAGAGAGCAGAGAGTAGTCATTGAGGGGAAAGCTTCATCATCATATACTGTGGACTCTAGGGTCCCTCAAGGAACCGTACTGGGGCGTCTGTTATTCCTCTGTCAAATTAACGACTTACCCAGCTGTGTTACCTCTCAAGTGCGTCTTTTCGCGGACGATTGTCTGTTATATAGGCCTATAAAGAGCATAGACGACCAGTTCAGCCTCCAACAGGACCTTAAGTCACTTGAAGCATGATATGGGCGAAAGACTGGGGCATGAAATTTAACGCCACCAAGTGCTATCTCATGTCCATCTCTAGAAGCAAGACACCACACCAGTATCGTTACACATTAGACAACCACATCATTGAACAGGTACAGGACAATGCCTATCTTGGAGTTACACTCAGTGACAGTCTAAAGTGGACCACACACATCAACAAAATTTCAAACCGTTCAAATTCCATCCTTGAATTCATCCGTCTAAACTTAAAGTACTGTTCCAAACCCCTTAAAGAATTAGCCTATATCAAACTGGTCAAATCTATATTCGACTATGCTTCTGTTGTATGGGATCCGTCTCAAAAAAAGGACATAGACCGTCAAGAAGGGATACAGCGACGTGCTGCCCGCTTTGTGTGCAATGATTACAACAGATACAGTAGCGTATCCAAAATGTTGGAGGAACTTAAATGGCGACCGCTATCTGAACGCAGACGAGACCAGTGTTTAGTGTTACTCTACAAAATAGTTCACGGACTCGTGGCCATACCCGTTGACTCGCTATTCCAGTTTAATACCAGACCATCTAGAACACAGCACAGTAAATCCATCAAAGTGTTTAGTTGTAACACCGACATATAAGAACTCATTTGTACCATCTACCATAAAAGACTCGAATGCACTACCATCGCACATCATCAATTGTAAAACAACGGAACAATTTAAGGCCAAAATTGACTAAGATTGATATAGCGCACTCACTCACCCTGGATAAACTTTGCTCAGTAGTGAGCTAATTTCCAGTAAATATATACAGATACAGGCCCTATTATCAGTTGATCAGAATCTTGGGATTGGTGTACATAATATAATTATGTTAATCTTATAAATGTAGCGAAATGGACTTGGTCGATCGTCGGCGACCAGGTAGCTGACAATTGGTAGAACGATCGTCAATAAGTTCGGAGGGTCTGGCCGTGCGTTTTCCTCTCCTGTAACATAAATATCCATTCAAATTTTATTGATTTATTTTGTTTAGAAAGAGTTATATAGATAAGACCAGAATTGTATATATACCTCAATATTTGAAAATTCCAATTCAGCATCCATAGTGGTGACTCGGACCGAAAAGCTTTTTGAGCTTCCCGATACGGTCGCCGCCTTTTTCATGTTTACGAAAGGCATCTTGGTGTTTCTGGACTCTTGAGATTGGGAGAAATCAAAACATGATGATGGTTACATACTGGATTCAATCACATCCCAGTTCATGAATGCGTAACATATATATAACCTCCTTTTTGTAACAATCGAAAAAGTTTCGATGAAAATATAAGAGATCGACATCAGTGTCTCGGTGAAAACTACACTTTAATTTGTTATAACCAAGTACATCAAAGTCAAACGTTTGTGAGATACTGATTATGTGCACCTAAAACACGCCACACATTTTCTGAACTCTTTGGAACGCCAACAGAGGCAAGACTCACTACATCATACATCAAGTGATGTATTCATAAAATAATAGTCTTATTGAAAAAATATCATTAGGAAAAATATGGATTTTTTTTCTTAATTTGCAAGAAATAGATGGATTTTAAATTGATTGAAGTGGAAATAAGCTTAGCTTGTAATTGAGAATATCCATCATATTTTCCATGACGGATGAGTTTTCTTTTCATGATTTTTTGTAATTATCTAAATATAAACTGACATATGTTTTCTTAATTGCCAATATAATTGATTTAACTTAACAGTTACATGTACAGTGTAAATCCACACGAAAATGGTGTACAAAGGGAAGTAACTATTACAGTACAAAGAGAAAAGTGTCTTGAGACTGTACAGAAAGAAATTGATATGACATATTCATATATTTGATTTTTCAATTCTTGATTTAGTACACAATCAAAATGTATAAAGACTTATGTTTGCACAATTTGGTGACCAAATACATTTTGAACCACAGCACCTCGTAAGAAATAACAGAGAAAATTAAAGTCCCATCCCTTTAAACTGGTGTCTTTGCTGAAATAATGGTAACAACACGAGTTTGTGTTAAAAAAACCAACTAGAACACTGACAGGTCAGTCAGGGCCCCGTCTTGTGGCAATTATATCCCCCATAATCATCAAGAAGCAATCTGCCCATATAGCTGAGCTTGACGTTTGACTTTTGGACTTCAAAAAGAATCGCAAGGAAGCAAAATATACATTTGTCATGTACTATGATGTGATGTGTTTCCTTCCACCTCCATATTTGCTGGGCTAACAGAAATGTAATTACCGGTGCAATACTCATTTGTTAGCTTTGATTTGTCTTATTTCACCTTATATACATTCTCCATCAAGAGCCAGGGTCAAGTCAGAGATCCACTTTGTCTTTGACCTTTGGACCCAAATGACCTCGATCATTAATCCAGTGACCCTGATATTTGGTCAGTTGACTTATTCTTTAATACCGACCAACTTTGCTTCTTAATATCATAACAAAATGTTCAACAGTGAAAAATACAAAACTTGACCCTTTGGACCCAGTAACCTGGAACTAAGGTCAGTTGACTCTATGTTAAGTTCTGAACAGCATTGCTTCATAATGTTATAACAAAATGTTCATCAGGGGAAAGGTACAAAATTTTAACCTTGACCTTTGACCAAGTGACCTTGACCTTTGGTCAATTGACTCCTTGTTTAAATCTGAGCAACATTGCTTCAAAGTGTCATAGCTAAATGTTCACCAGTGAAAAGATACAAAATTTAACCTTGACCTTTGACCCAATGACCTTGACCTTTGGTCAGTTGACTCCTTGTTTAATTCTGAGCAACATTGCTTCAAAGTGTCATAGCTAAATGTTCACCAGTGAAAAGATACAAAATTTAACCTTGACCTTTGACCCAATGACCTTGACCTTTGGTCAGTTGACTCCTTGTTTAATTCTGATCAACTTTGCTTCATCATGTCATAACAAAATGTTCATCAGTGACAAGATGCAAAATTTGACCTTGACCTTTGAATCTCATGACCTTGACCTTTGACCTCATATTTTGACCTCAGTGTGTCTCTTTGTTTAATTCCGAACAACTTTGCTTCATAATGTCATAACAAAATGTTCACCAGTGAAAAGATGTAAAATTTGACCTTGACCTTTGAACCTAATGACCTTTACCTTTGACCTGGACTTTTTGTATCAATGTGTATTTATATGAACTGAACATCTTGACCAAGTTTCATGTACATCAGTCAATAAATACTTAAGTTATCAGCCAGGAACAAAATATGTGGACGGACAGACAGAGTGATTACTATAGGGCACCCGTATCTCCGATACGGGGCCCTAATTAAAGAAATTTGTTTAACCCATCTTGACTACCAAATTACAAGTCTACCACCAACACCAATACGTTTACATGATTGGTTGAATGTCGACAAAAGTAAGAAGGAAATTGAAGTGACTGCGCGCACGTTTCAGTGATTTCATTGGTGTACATCCTTTATATATTCAATATCGTTTCCGTAGGTCTTTGCCATGTGAAACCTATCGTATAGAATTAACAGATAATGTCATCTTTAATGTAAATAAGGGAAGTAAACCAAACCAAACTTACTCCTTTTTTCTTTAAACACGAAATACTATTTTTTTTCTAGCTGCGGGAACCGTAGCTTCTATGTCCGATTTTTTTGTTTGTTATCGGACCATAGATGCTTATCTACCTTTTCGCAGATCTGCGTTGTTTGCATTGGATTTCGAATCTTCCGATGAATTCTCTTTAACAACTTCTTATCGCTGGCTCAACCAATTAATCAAGTATCTTCAATTCTTACTACCCGTTTCTGTATCATTAAACCAGCGTTGCAGTCGTATTGTGACACTGGATACTCCAGTAGTGGAAATAACGGAATGTGGATTTCGAACGAACTTATGATCAATATTGAAGTGCTTTCTTTGAAATTAGTGGTGTTTTTTTTGCATCAGAACAGTTGATATTTTCACTCTAAACAATATTATCCTCATATCAAACAAGGAACGCATTCTTATTTTGTTTTGGGAGCTTAAACTTTTTTTAAAGAAAGAGGAACGGCAATACACAAACATGGTTATGCTGTTAAAAATAAACTTAGGATGACAGTTCTTGGTTGAGAACTTATCTTCAACCCATAAACTGTGGATGACAGTTCTTGGTTGAGAACTTATCTTCAACACATAAACTGGGGCCCTCTCATGGCCGACTTGTTTTTTTATCAGAAGGCTGAATTTATCGAGGAGCTTATCAGAACTCGGAACAATAGCGTCGTCAAATCCCTCAATTTTACTTTCAGATATATCCAGGATGTGCTGTTTTTAGATTACAGAAAAAAATTGACCACATCGATCGTATACATTCTTTTCTGAACTTGAAATCAATGACAATACTGGTTTTCTACTTCAGCCTCTTTCCTCGATCTTTCGGCCTTACACCATGACATACGGGGACGCCTGACTAACAAACTGTGCGTATAGGGTTAATATTTCCATGTTCAGATCGTGAACTGTCCCTTTCTTGATTGTATCACCCGACTTAATTTTGTCACATGTTGATTCGGAATTCAAGAGCTTGCTCTGAATATCACGACTGAAGGACAAACTTACAACGCAGGGCTTCGAGAAATGCAGGCCGATAACGATCTCATTGGTGAATTGCTAATTTGTAAATGAGGAATATATATTGATATTGTTTTATTATACTGACTAGTGTGCCTGGCGGTTATCACACTCTGAGGACGTGACATTTCTGGGATTTGATCCATTTTTAATTGCTGGCGTTAATTTAGTGATGAAGTGGAAAGCGTCGTTGTGCGTGTTAAGTGGTCTCATGCTATTTTTTTTACATTTTGCCATAGTTTTATCGATTTTGAGTTTGAATCACACTTCTTTATTGTCATGATGTTACTTCTTGTTTACGGGATGAGTGAAACGGTGTATGTGTTCTTCTAAATATGACGCGGAAATTGTTGATGAAGCTTACAGTACAGTTTAAAGGTCAGATCAGCATGTTTTTAAATTCGTGACGAAATAGTTTTTTCCCTTTGTACACGATTCATCTATCTATTTTCCATCGTCAAATTTAAATGCGAAAACACAGATCATCTTGTTTTTGCTATGTTACACATTTCATTAATAGAGGAAAACTTTGATTTCGGATATTTTACTATACTTTAAGGAGCTAGCAAAAGAAACAACTCACGTTATTGTTAAATTAATCATGTGTAACTTATTCAGCAAAAACTCACCTGCAAGTTTAGGTTGACAACAATAAAATATACTACATTACCGATATACATGATGCAAAATCTGAAATTGAAAAGGTATATGATAAACATAGTACTTTACTTAACAATATTGCATCTTCTTCAAATATTGACCGCATGCCAACACTTTAAAGCTTAATCATTTAGATAAAATAACCATTTTCTAGAACTGTTGGAAGATATCTTCCTCCTTGGACATTTTTTTTGGCCATGTTTCTCAGGCACATGGTGTTCATAATGTGAATTTATCGTTCGTTGACGTAATTTATTTGCTCTTTCAATTGATTAGAAAGGAATTGTACTCACTTGTCATGATCTTTGGTTTAACTACGTTATTTTTCAAATCTGTCATATAGTCTGTACTTGCCTGCGCCATGCAAAACTGTATATTTAGTTGCCTTCTTACCGCACCAGATAGTTTATCAACGCTTCTGGGTTCCTATATTGACTCCGGTATATTTCAAAAAGGGTCATCTAACCAAGCAGCTCACCCTTCGAGTGCAGGGCAAGGAGATACCACCAATCCTTAACAACTCAATGAAATATCTAGGGAAGTGGGGCGACGACACCCTGTCTGATAGAAGGCCGGGAAACAGGTGAAGGAATGACTGAATAGGGTTGACAAGTCGGGACTCCATGGGAAGTTCAAGGCGTGGTTGTACCAGCGTGGAATCCTTCCAAGACCGAAATGAACCTTGATGTCGAACGAGATGCCTCTGACGAAAACAAGTCTATTGAGAGATGTGCTAACAGGAAGTTGAGGACATGACTTGGAGTACGTACAGTCCGACATTCCAACTTCATGATCAGCTGCTTTTGTAATCAGTTTTAGAAGAATTCAAGGTGTCAAAGTACAGACTTGTGATCATGATGACCCTGAAGGATTCCAGAGACAGCAAAGTAAGGGAATCTGGAGTGGTCAACAAGGACAGACATTAAGTGGTCAGCCGGACCTACGGTCAGCAGTGCTGAGAGCACATTGGAGTTGCGCGACATCATAGACAACATCTGTATAGGGAAGCGAGGGCAAGGAGTAGATCACTTTCAGCAGTGGAGCAAAGCGAAGGGGAAGGAGAGAAGAAGCAGAATCATGGCAGTCGTAAGATCGGAGGAACAGCATCGCCAAAAGTAGAATTGGGGAGCTGGGACAGCAGCTAGAAATCCTAGAAAGAGTCAAAGTAGAGTATTCCAGAGCGCAAGAACACATGGTTGATGGAACCTGTCAGGATCTCCTTCATATGTTTAGCAGGGCTCACCCTGGACCTAAAAAATCAGTAGCCAAAAAAGTAGCCATGTTTGAATTTCAGTAGCCAATCTTTTTTAAACAGTGGCCATACTTTCTCGGCCTCCAACCGAGATAGACCCTCCATTAAAATCATTAAATATATAATATTTTTTGAAGTGCAATACTATTCAATATGATTGTAAATTAAATTTCCACCAGAACTTTTTTTATTTATTTTTTCAAAAAAGAGAAAAATCAGCCTTTATCTCATTTTCTTGACACAGGAATTGTGAAAAAATCTAGCTTGAAAAGTTCAAATAAGATATTATTCGCCTTTAATTCCGTGCCTTCAATCAAAAAATAAAACTAATAAAATCCAAATCAAAAGTAGCCTCGGTGATGCAATATTGATAATTATTTTTCCTTTGTTTACATTCACCGTAATTCATGTTTTATGTAAAAAAGATATATAAATATATTTAAAAAGATCACACATTTCAAATGTAAATGGCAGTAGAACACATTTGAAAGGAAAAGGACGAATTTATAACGGTATTGACCAACCCTTCGAAATAAATCGGAAGCACATCACGTCGCGCAACTTGGTCATTGTCGTGCACGTGTCGTCGATTGGCACCTTATACAAGCGACCGTCGAAGTAATTCTGAACGGTTTGCTGTTCTAAAAACTGCATAACTGCGATGCTAAATAACTTTTCTCGTTCATTTGAAATTCTAAAACGTCTAACCACGAAAGTACACAGTCAGATACGATATAGGGCCTATCGTTTGAAGTTATCTGAAAGGCCGAAAAACGGCACTACGACATGGTGTTTCAAGGCGATACTTATACTTTCTAATCAAGCATATCGGACGTATTTGTGCTTACTACGGTACTGGAAAAGGTAAATGAATACCATGTACACTAATTTAGATATACTGAACCCGTAAATTTGTTGGATGCAGTGTTTGAACGAGTTTATCAGATCGGCTTACAGCGCCGTCAAATGTACGTGTGCGAGAACACCTATGTGTGACTCGCTTATTAGACTGTTTTCTCAACGTCAAAGGGTCATCCAATTAACTTGACCCCACTGTCCATAATTATTGTATAAGATTTATAACACCTTTTGCCATTGAAGCTTGATAATTGACTTTACAACTTAGACAAAAGCATGAATTAACTCGCAGTCGTACAGCGCGCGCTGATCTGTGACGGCCCTGATTATGTTTACGCAATCAGTGTCAGCCACAATACACACGTGAGCTCGAGTAGACGGATCGTTTTCTGCGACAAAGATTCAGAGTTTCCCCATTTTTAAAAACTTAGTAGTCAATTTAGTAGCCACATCGAATTTTTAGTAGCCAATAATGGCTACTTTGGCTACCGACAGCGTGAGCCCTGTTTAGGTCTGCGTATGACACTTTACCTTCGCAAAGCAACCTGATAGATGGAGCCTAACGTAAGACCCAGTCTGCAGAAGAGACCAGTGATGCCACTCCAGAACACAGGTGTGAGAGCTGGAGAAAAGGTATGACCTTCTACATGTTTCATCAAGCCACGAATCTACTCTGCATAGCGTAAACCTGGGCGATGACAGTAGATCTGAGTAGATTGTCAAATATTGCATGTGCACAATTACACTGTAGACCAGACATCGTGATATGGTCACCTCAGCGGCTGAAGATCATACCCAGGAGAGAGTATAGTGTTTGCAACGAAGCTCACGAAAGGAAGGTTGCCAAATATCAAGAGCTTTAGGAGCAACTTCAAGTTCTTTATTAACTTTAAGTCTTGCGACTTATCAGTGTAAACATATATTAAACAGAATATTTACATATGTACAAAAAGCCACATTGGTCACAGGAGAATGAACAATACACACATACAAACTGTCATATATCTGATCGGCGCTTATTTGCCGATACTTTCCAAGATTACATAATTCTTTAATATTCTGTGTATTAAGTCATTGAACAAGCGTATATACACTAACAGAGTAGGCAGAGGAACGGTCTGCCTTGCTGTTTCCTGTTGATAGTCAGTGGAGTCTTTAACCAGCTACCCCCCCCCCCCCCCCCCCCCCCTGTCCCTTCCCCACAGTACGGAGATGAAGGAGAATATATGTGTTTTTCTCCCCATAAATGAATTCTTTTCATCACGTACTGGGCACATTATTTTACAGATTGATATAGTTTTCTAAAAATAGTAACAGTGACCTTGAACTTGCATAAAGCTGCCTGAAACGCAAATTGTTCAAGGTATTGCCATACCAAACACTTGTATCTGAAGTTTCATGAAATTCTGTTGAGGAGTGCAGTCGCTAGAGCAATGACAAAGGTTTTTTTCTAACAAGAGGCCCAATGGGCCTGCATCGCTCACCTGTTATTAATCTAACACTTGTAATCTTAAGATTTCATAAGAACCTATTAAAAGATTTAAACATATGACGCCTCTGACCTTGATTGTCGAACAAGGACATTAGGTTGAAAGTGGATCAAGGTCATTCATTTGAACTAACATGGTAATCCTTCATCCCAGCATGCTACAGGCCCAATTTCAGTACCCTGG